TAGCAACTGGAATCAAATCTTCTATGACGTCACAAATTCACCCAGAACTGATCTCATAACTACCCAGAGAGCGACTTCTTGTGGATCATTTTGCCCCTTCTTTTAAAAAATGACATACAGTAATGAGAGAGAGCGCTTATGAACAAGGGTATAAAAATCAGTGCACCGGCTCACTCAAGTCATTATTTCGATCCGATCAACCAGCTTTGGATCTCACTCAAACTTCCAGCCTTCTATCAGGGATAGAAGTACAACTACCAGTGCCTGGTGCCAAACTAAGATAGTTTTCAGAGGCATTTTCAGTGGTTTTCTCAGAGGCCTTCCCAAAGGCTTCTCCAGTGGTCTATCTTCTATCAGAGATAGAAGTTCACCGTCCATTACCGGTGCCTGCTGCCAAACTAAGAGAGTTTTCAGAGGCATTTCCAGTGGCTTTTTCAGAGGACTTTCCAGAGACTTTTCCTAAGGATTTTCCGGTGAAATCGCTTGTGACTACTAGGATCCGCTATCAAGGCGATATAGTTTCCAGTAATATTTCCTGAGACTTTTCCAAGTGGATTTTCCAAAGACTTTTCCAGTGAAATAATTAAGTGATCAGTGGCAGTGTTCTCATTCTTGTCTTTAGGTCTGCTACTTGTCAGCTCAACCATTCAAGATCCATTTTGCTTTTTCTCTTATTTTCACCAAGATTAAATCTAATAATAATAACGTTATATCAGACAGTCTTGATCGTAAATAGTCAGATTAGGGCTTAACGGGTTAAATTGACTCGCTTATATTGTAGCGAGATTAGCTAGATGGAGTCAAACGATTTGATTACGTCTATTACGAGGGTGGGTCAATAAGTTCTTAAAAAAAGATAGAAGAACAATTTTTTCTGGGTATATATTTTTATTTTTTAACATAATCTCCGTCTAGCTTGATACACTCATCCAGGCGCCCTTCAAGTTTTTTTAAGCTATCAGAAAAAAATTAATTTGGAAGTTCCTCAAAATAGTTATTTGTTTGTGTTATGACCACCTCGCTCGAGATGAATTGTTGTCCGGCAAACCACTTTTTTAGGCTTGGGAATAAAAAAAGTCACTAGCCATATCTCATGAATACGGTTGGTAGTATACTAATTCGAACTTCAATTCCTTAATTTTAGCCATTGAAACTAAGCAAATAATCACTCGTGCATTGTCTTGATGAAACAGAATTTTTTTTATTTAAATGAGAACGGTTTTCCTTTATTTTCTCACTTAACCGGTCCAACAACGACACATAATACTCTCCGATGATTGTTTATCCTTTTTCTAAATAGTCGACGAAGATAATTCCATGTGTATCCCAAAAATCAGTGGCCATAACTTAACTGGCCGATTTCACTGTCTTTGCTTTCTTTGGATCTAGTTGACCTTTCACAATCCACTGTTTTGACTATTCTTTCGTCTCAGGAGTGTAGTGGTGTATCTACGTTTCGTCTACAGTTATGAATTGACGCAGAAAGTCGTCCGAATTACAGTGGATACACGTCAAGAGGGCCTCAGCGGCCACCACTCGATGGATCTGGCTGAAACTTTGGCAGTACTCTATTTAATAGTGACGCTTGCTGATGCAACATAAGTTGGGATGCTTTGATCGCCATCTCTTGGATTTTCTAAGGACTTATCGACCTACCTTCGTAGTAACAATAATAATTCAATTAATAGTACAAATCACAACACGAGTGACTCTGGAAGTGTAGTTAGCAAATGCGAAACGAATGACTATAGAGCTCATAAAATAAAATTGTTTTTTATATTTTTATTTTGTTATTAATAGAAAAAAATTTTGCGTGCAATTTTCATACCTATTAAAACGTTACGCAATATCGTTTCACTCACCTCACTCATCAGTGCCTCACCGCCTATCGTTGGGGTAAAAGTCGACTAAACGTCACGACCATCTCCCTCGTTAATATTGAATTTTGCGACCTACAAGAAGTTAAACCCATTCATACTCCTATCTATATCAAGCTCCTATAATAAATAGAATACGAAACAATCTTTGTAAAATCATGTCAAATTTTTCAGAAAAGAACGACTTGACTTTGCAAAATATGACGTTACAATAAAGATCTCAATTGCGAAGTTAAGAACTACATTAAAAAAGTATCAATGGATGAATGCTTTAACATCGCTCGCTACGGGGGGCTCAAGTACGCACGAACAATTGTTTCAAGTGTTAAAGTGAATGCGATAACTAGAGAAACGATTACCTTTTTGGGATCTTTTTCTGATGATGCAAATACTCAGACAGCTGTTACATATTTGACGATCAACAATATGACAATATATACATTTTTTTAGAGCTCAACATACGCAATAACCGGCAATATATAATTCAGTTAATCTACGAGGTGTGTTCAAAAAGTAAGGTGACTTCAAATTTCACGGGCAACGTACTTTCGATTATCGATTTTTTTATTTTGTTATGTTGGTACACTCTTCCCGAACATCTGTACCAAGTTTCAAGTGTATAGCATTTTTTGTTTGGTTGTGAGAGGCGTAAAGGTTATAAGTGTTTTGCGTGCTCGGCGATTTCTTGCTATCGAAAAATATGGATCAAAGGATTTGCATCAAATTTTGTGTAAAAAATAAAATAAAGTGCTCCGAAACACTTGAAATGTTGACGGTGGCATACGGTGAAACTGTTCTGAGTAAAAACAATGTTTACAAGTGGTACAAACTCTTCCAAGATGGCCGGGAAGATGCCAATGACGAGCCTCGCGCTGGACGCCCAAGCACGTCAACAACTGATGAAAACGTTCAAGCAGTGAAGAAAATTGTTCTGGAAAATCGTCGAATCACTATCAGAGAAGTTGCTGAGGATGTTGGTATATCGCTTGGCTCGTGCCATGAAATTTTTTCTAACGTTTTGGGCATGAGACGTATGTCAGCGAAGTTTGTTCCGAAATTGCTAAATTTTGACCAAAAGAACCGTCGCATGAGCGTCACTAAAAAACTGTTGAATGACGTCAACGACGACCCAGATTTACTCAAAAGGGTCATAACTGGTGACGAATCATGGGTATATGGTTATGATATCGAAACCAAAGTCCAATCGTCCCAATGGAAGAGCCCAGATGAGCCAAGACCCAAAAAATCACGCCAAGTTCGATCAAATGTCAAAGTTTTGCTCACTGTTTCTTCGATTGAAGTGCTTATGAGAAGTGCTTTGAGGATTGGAAAAACCGTTGGCATAAGTGTATTGTATCTGAGGGGTGTTACTTTAAAGGGGACAACATAAATATTGATAAATAAATAAATATTTTTTCTTAAAAATACAAAGTCACCTTACTTTTTGAACACACCTTGTATGACACGTGTTAAATTCTAAATCTTTGAGGCTTCATATCTCGTAAACCATGACGGTAGGCCTCACCAAACTTCAACCAATAATGTGTTGCACCATAATAAATATTTGGTGTGAATTTCATCAAAATCTTATGAAAATGAATTTTGGGTAGTAACCTCCTTAAAATCTATTGCGTTATGTTTATCAACTACAAGAAATTTGAAACATATTAGAATTCATATCTGATGTGATTAGATAGTTTATTTCATCGTATATGTTGGATTATATTCAAAGTTATTAAATTAAATGCAGTTGAATAATTAATTCTTGTCAAACATATTAAAATTTATTAAAATTTATTAAATAAAAGATAATTGAATAGATCATCTATTGAAATTGTAAGAAGAAATTAATATCTATTGCATTAAGTGTGATCAAGGAGTCACTCGGGGGCCGCGAGACAATTTAGATCGACACGCGAAAAAGGTTTCTTCACGCTGCCCAGAAATTAAGTTTGTGTTTGTAAGTCCGGACAGCCCAGTCTTTCTCATTAATACTAGTCGTGATTAAATGTTGTAAACCTTTCGAGTAATAAGTCAACCCTACCATTAAATAAAATCGAAGACCCCTCTTTCCTTACTCCAAACCAAACTTTCCACCAATCCCTCTCGACAAGTAAAGTATGAGTGGTCATACTTAGTGCACAATTCTCAACAACCGTATCAAGCCCGACTAGGTCATAAAGCTCGCTGAGCAACCATCGGGTGTCGAAAACCAGGAAATATCACAGACATAATACCCATATCAATTATTCATAAACTGAAAATTTATTTCTGCAATATAAATCTTACGGTTCTAAATATATAATACTTCAAAATATATCTAAATACATCTGAAATATATTTAAATATATAACGCCTTCAAATGTATAATATTTCAGAGTACATGATAATTCAAAATTTTGCACTTTATATTGTATCAACTGATCACAACATTGAATGTCAACGACGCATCATATTTTTAAGATAAGAAAGTGCTTAAACGATCAGCAGATCCATAACTGACAAAGAGCATTACAAAGAATATTGCCTTTTTTTCTTTCTATCTGAAAAACATTGCTCTCTAAGGAAAATAAGTCGATTTTTCATCCTTCTAGTTTCTTCCACAATTAATCATGTAATGTACACCATATTATATGTAATATGGTGTAATGTGTCTTTTATCAATATCCCTGATAAAAGATTCAAGATTTTCCCTATCACCACGTGCTTATATTTTGAAAGATAGAATATTATAAAAATATCACTTAAAAGTTCGTTCATATTATTATGATTCACTGTCGAGATGCTATGTTAAAATTTTAAAGTTACTAAAATGATACAATGAATGACTGGATATGCACGTATTAATTTATAAAATATTCCATTTTTTAAACTTTGCAAAACTATTAGTAATCAAAGATAATTATATTATTACGTTAAAAAACAGAAATATCGGTTCACTCGCATGCAGATTTTCAATTCTATACAGATTAACCAGATTTTTTGTGAAAATAAATCTCCATCTGTATTGTAAAATAGTAAATTATTTTGCCAATAATATTGTTCATAGCACCAGTTCATATAATTTTACTGGTTTTACAGCTTGAATCTATTAAATTGGAAAAAGAATGTTCATACACTTACAGCTGGTAGGTTGAATTCGTTACAGGTAATCTTAACGCGTGTATCGCTTATTGCATGCCATCTGCAAGATCTTGAAGCAGAATACTTTTGCGGATAATTAGGATTTGTAATGTAATAAATCCTTCCTGCTTCTAATATCTGAACAAAATCACAGTTATTATCAACTGCGTTTGATATTCTAAGGGTAACCAAAACTGTAAAACTGAGTAAACACCATAAATCTGTGAAATTAAATGATAATTTGATTGAAGTAAATAAAAGCATTATTATCGTAAATTAAATAATAATTAAAAATGGGATGAAGGTCAGTAATTTACTAGTGGGACAGTTAAAAAATTATTTTCTCAGTATTACGTATACAGTATTTGTAAAACAAAACTAATAAACATTTAATATAAATGTAGGAATATAAATTGTTTACTAAAATTTTCTACGAAATTAAAAAGCTGCTTACAGTCAACCATATTGGCAGCTCCAAAATGTCTTTTGCTTCAAATGTTTTTAAAGTCAAATAGTAACTGTGCGTTCTTAAAATAAAGAGTTGAAAATGAATAAAATCTTATTGTGGTATGTCTATTACAGATACGGTGTTTTGGATGATTTGGAATAAATTTATGACAACGCAAAATAAATATTATAACATGAGGCTGAGCTGTTCATGAATAATTACACCATATATTCTTTAAAATTGCCATATATCCGTAAATTAACAAAATGTGATATAGTTATACTTAATATAACAAATACAAAAACGGAGAAGATAGAATGGAACATTTTACATTTTATATTATATAAAATAAATTAATCATATAGTGATCGATTTTTATAATAAAATAAAATACTCACAGATCATTTTAAAATACTAGAAAATTGAAAATTACTTTATAAAAAAATTTACCCTTAATTTTCAACGCTATCACGATAGACTGAATTTTCAATTTTACAACTACCATACAACAAGCGACTTTAACTTTGTACAAATTATTGATAATGATTGTAACAAACGTTCAGATAAGAGCTCTTAAACTGAATGACTTTGAAAAATAACAGAAAGTTAAGAAAAGCACTACACTTTATTGATAAATAAAAAAATTGTATGAAGATTTAGTTTTCCATTTTTTTAATTATATAAGTATGAAAACTGAAAGAATGGAAGTTAATTTTTTTTCAATAACAGAAAGTAATTATAAAAACTCAACTGCATAAGACATTGAGAATGTACATATTTAAAATGAAATTGACTTATTACTACAGAATTATGACATTTCTAACCTAAGATAAATACAAATATTGAAAAATTTTGCTGAACATATTGACTAAGATATGTGATATGGAGTCTCAAATATGTGATAAATCCTGGTAATTAAATATACATTTTTCAGAACCAATAAATTCAATTCTTCTTCAAAACAGCGTCAACCGATACGTTTAAAACTGCCTTTATTATTTTCTGTTGACATTATCATAATTACACCTTCTTCGAACGCGTACGAGCGTCTTATCAATAAATGATAACAAATGTTTCCTTAAAAAAAGTGTGTAATGCGGTAAATTTTTTTAATCCACTACGGAAAGATTCTCTTGAATACATTTTTGTAAAAGTTCTAATATTTTATTTTGATATAATATCGAATTTGAGTTCCAATTTCGGAGTAAAAAAATACAAAACTGACAATCGATATGCGCCCAAAGCTTGTGCACTACGATTAGTATGTATTATTAATTATTGTATATCGGAAAACGCAGCGAACATCGAATAACATAAGTAGTTAGAGATATTTTCTTGTATTTACTTACATGTATGTTTAAATAGAATTTCTTTTTCAAACAAAAGTTTTCATTCATAATACGTCTAATATAACATAAACAAAACTTGTGAAAGTTAACCAAACATTTTTTATGGAATAAATCTTAAAATTCTTAAAATTAAACATTTTTGGTGTGAAATAATTGTATACATTAGTAAGATTTTAAATATCAGTATGTTATTTTTAAATATCTTAAATTTAACATATTTAAATATATTAATGTCTGACAGATTAGAAACTGAAGACATCATCAGAGATTTAAGACTGATTATCCTCTTGAAAAAATGACTGATGATACAAAAACATCTCAACACAGAAAACTAAAGAAATATAATAAATTAATAGAACCTAAAAAGGAAAGAATTATCTTGAGTAATGAAAAAGATGTGTTAATAAAAACATTACCGAGAAAAGGATGATTGAGAAGAAAAAGATTTTTTTGGATTAAACTCTACAACAAATATTCTTACAACGGACAAACGTGATAATGATGTATATTATACTGTTTAAACTAATTCTCTTAATAAATACTTGTCAATGGTGAAGAAAAACCAGACAACCGTCTTAGATACAGCTTATGGTTTACGAAAAACTTCAAAATTATCTTATGTTTGGTGATAAGTCAATAAAGTTTGAAAACAATGAAATTATTATAGGCAATGAAAAGTATGAGTCAAGTAATAGTTTAGTAGAATTATAATTCAAGAAAAAGCTAAATTCTTCTACAATAACGCAAAATGATTTACAGCACTATGATCAAATTATAAGAAACTATAATGTATATAATAAATATTACAAACCGGAGAAAGAAGTACGCTATCAACCAAATAAAAAATTTCATAATATTATATCTCCATTAATAAATTCACCGAAACTGGGAAGAGGGGTTTCTCTGGTCCCATCATATAAAATTGCAATACGGAACAATTACACAGATTATATATATTGAAATGATCCGAATGAGCTTGTAAACGTCTAAGACTATTACTTTCATAAACATCAGCTGATAATAAAAATTATCTTAATGAAATTCAGTTGATTATTTAAGAGCTACGAAAAGCTGAAATAATATATTATTATCGCAAGTTGGATTTCGAGCTCATTAATATTGTGAATATTGATGTTTGCAAACGTTAGCTAACTCAATTTGAAACCAATCATGGTTTACCTGGTACAAGATTCAAATTGCCAAACGACGGATAATTCGATTTAGATAATAAAAAATGTTATCTAGTTGCAGATGCTGTTAACTCGCAAGATCTTGTTCTTTTCTTTGGATACATCCTAACTCGACCTAGCAAGAATCATAAATCGCAAGGCTCATGATGAAACTTGAACTTGATATCAAATAATATTTAATATTTGGTTACGTTAACTCCGGTAGTCGTAAGGTACACATACGAAAAACGTATCGGTACTGTACGGATTCCGTACAGAAATCCGTACGGTTTCAGTACGAATTCTCTACGATATTCGTACGCAAAATTATTTACAGCACTGTGATCAAATTATAAGAAACTATAATGTATATAATAAATATTACAAATCGGAGAAAGAGCACTTTATTACACGTATCGCAGATTGAGTATTTTTTGTATCGTTTTTTTTTTCATTTGTTTTCTTTAAATACAAAACTACTTTGAAACAAATACGACAGTGAAAATGGCATGTCACATTTTTGTCTTGCAAAAAAAAAACAGAGTAAACGCGGTGATCATTAGAATTATATCTTGTACAGTGAGACCTGACTCACAAAACACCCTTTTTCATCTTATTCAATTTAGCATCATCATTTTAAAAACTTTCAATTTCGGACTCAACAGCGTCACTCATATCTTCATTATCAGAATAAGAATGTTCACTAATAGATATATGGAATAATTTTTCATTTGACTCATTTTCAAGACGATCAGAATATTAATAATCCTCAACAAAAGCAGTACCTTTTTGTATTACTTCAATAGATTTACCAATAAAGTTAGACAATGACACATTGATAGTTTTATTTTTTTTGTAGTTTTATTTCTACATCAGACGATGAACTATCTTGATACTCTCCAGATTCACGTTTATTTTAAATAGTATCATTACAACCTTCCTCATTTGATAAAATATATAAATATATTTACTTTACTTTAGCATACTTTACTTCAGCTACTATAATTATTACTATTCCAACAGGAATTAATGTTTTTAGTTGGTTAGCATCATTAAACGGAGTAAAAATCAAAATAAATGTTAGTAATTTATGATTATTAGGATTTATTTTTTTACTGTTGGAGGTTTAACTGGTGTTATTTTATCAAAATCATCGATTGATTTTGTATTACATGATACATATTATGTAGTAGCTCACTATTTTATATTTATATAATATTTATTAATTCAAATTTCATTTGAAATTTTATGTTCTTCATTAGTACTTGTTTCATCTACATTGCCTAGGATATCTTGATCAACATCCATCTCACAAGAGGCGAGGTAGCCAAAGCAACACATAATTTTAATGACTTACCTGTTACAGAAATTTGAAAAAATAGAAAGGAAGAAAATATACGAGGGGTGTTTAAGAAGTAAGGTGACTTTATGGTTTTCTCAAAAAATATTTATTTATTGGTCAATATTTATGTTGTTTCCTACAAAGTAATCCTCGTTAAATATAATACACTTGTGCCAACGCTTTTTCCAGTCATCGAAGCTCTTTTGATAATCATTTTGAGGTATAGCCTTGAGTTCTTTCAGCGATGCAGTTTTTATCTCCTCAATCGTTGAAGATCGATGTCCTTTTATGGGTTTCTTAAATCGCCAATTGATAAATTTAAAGCTCTTACTAATGCTGCTGTACTAGTGCATGTACCAAAAGATACTACACTAAATTCGTAGGTGTTACCTTCGATAATAAATGCCGTATATTTCTTACTTTCTTCTTCGAGAGGAATTTGCCAAAAACTACTTGTCAAATCAAAACTAGATTTTATTTTAATTTTACTCCGAAACAATGTTGAAAAATATAATTCATATGTAGTGGGTCTACATAATCTTTTACTAATTTTTTGTTTAATTTTCGAGCATCTAGACAAAATCGTACTGACCCGTCTTTTTTTATACTTATAACAATTGGATTAATATAATTACTAATTAATCAACGAATAACGTCATCTTTTAGCATTTCTTTGATTGCAATTCGAACATTTTTTTCGATAATTTAACGGTATAGGATACCGTTTTGAAAAATAAGGCGCTTTATCTTTTACAATTAATTAATGAGTATATACTTTTAACCCATTAAGGCCCATGCCAAAACAGCATGAGACAGGGCTAAACTAACTATGCCATTAATAGCATAAGTGAATAAAAAAAGTACCCGTGTTTTTTCATTTGCCATTTGCAATTGTTTCTAAAAAATTATTTAAACAAATTACCAAAAAAGTTAATATTTTTAAAAACTGATTGCGGCAATCGATTCTACGGGAAAAAATATGACAAAAACGTACATAACATTTTCTTGTCAAACTTCAAATTGTTAGTGTAAAACTGCAATAAACAATTGCAGGCCGGACAGGCTCACCTGTATACGCCAAATCTCAAGCAAAATCCATGGCCTATAACGTCAAACTATCTATGCTATTTATTTCCTGATGTAGCTTCGACGATATAATTTTTCATGGAATTAGAAAAATATAGTTCAAACAAGTCTCAAGAATTTTTATAGAACAAAGAAGAAATCGGTTCAATGTTGAAATGACAGTCATCATTTACAGTGGTGTCATGAGTCAGAGCTTTTTCTTCCCAATCGAAAACATGATTAGGTTCTAGTAATTTCTGAGTACTGGTATACATGCTTTTGTAAGACATGTTTATAAGAACCAGTAGGAATAAATTGAGATGATACATCTTCATCCAGATCTCCATCAGAATCTCCATCGGAGATTTCGTGGTCTCCGGGAATAAATGCTATGTTGATAGATCGAGAATTAGCTAGAGAATCGAACTGGACATCATCAACCTCAACTAAATCTGTTATATCGGCAATTCTACGCCTTGATATTTTTCGCCTGGACATTTTTCAAGAATAAAAAATGGTGAAAATTATGAAATAATATAGAATGTACTTCGTAAGTTAGATAGATGCTTCGAAGTAAAAGTAGATGATATCT